ACCAGTCTCCTGGTAGTAGCGTTCGCATGCGCTTCCGATTCATAGCGTAAGGGGTCCCTGACCTGGGGTCCATGATGAGTCGAACATTGCAGCTTATATCGTCTTTGCCGATGCTATTGAGCCAATAGCTCAGTGCCCGATCAGTAGCAAAGACTGGGGCAAACGTAGCGCTGATCTTGCCTACCGCGCTCCTTGCAAGGTTCTTCTTAAAATTGTCGTAAGGCATAATCGTTGGGTTTGGTCGTTGATCTATTTTGATTCCTACTTAATTATCCCGTTGCGCATTTGAGCTTCTGAAACATCCTGGCTGAAGGTCCTGATGTGTTCTTCAACATATCAACTTATTTCGATATGAAGTTAATTTGACATGAAGAAAATTGAATTTGAACCAAAATCGGCCAGGTGTTATGGAACAACCCAATATATTATATTAAGTGTAGGGTTCGTAAAATTCTCATTATAGCATCTACACTGACGTGATCCATTTTTTGTGAAGTATGCAGTAAATTGAATTCCCACGTCAGTTGAGATCAAAAATACCATTTTGTCATAAGACCTGTTAGAAATGATAATTGCTGTCCAATTTTAATGGAATTACAATCGAGTAAACCAAACTTCAAAATCAGGGAATGGCATAAGCAATAGATGATCAGTGAATATGGATAGCCTCAAGCAGTCTCCGCTTGAGCGCCATTTACCGGCTCAGTAATCTCAAAGTATAAATGCTTGCTTCATTTTGGCACTATGTAATGATTCTGAGAATTTGGTGGTGAAGCACTTGAAATTAGCTATTAATCTTCCTTGGTAAGTTATTCATGGATGCATTCGATAGTTCAAGCTTTTCATTTGCAGTCTCAGACGCTGAGTTCAGCCATCGCATACAGAATGCTTTACGAGATTATGTTCGCCATCTTGTTGCTCTTGGAAATCACTCATTTGTTAGCGCAGATCAGACAGCATATGTAAGGATTGTCTATGAAGTCTTGGTGAGTGGAGAGAGTGAGTCAACTAATTTCGTTCTATAGCTTTCATTTTTTTGCTTCGTCTCTTAGATGCGCGCTGATAGAAGCGTTGGGAATGTTGATGCGAATTTAACAAGACTACTTCACTTGAGAAATTGCATACTGCCACGTGTTGCAGCTCTGTTACGAGATCAAGGTAAGATCCCAAGTTACAACTCAAACAGAAACATCGAGTCGAATTGTTTGGTCCGCTGTTATCTTTAAGGTCCTCAAAAGATCTTTCTATTACCTTCTGAATTTACCTGACAAACTTATATTCGTGTTCTGTCTTCTTCAATTCTATGCACCACAGATAAGTATTGCTAGGGCGTTTTCCCAATCTGGACGAAATTCCGTCTCGGCTTCTTGTTTGGAGTGTAGTGGACGACGATCAACATCGAGAGGACTCAACTGGTGCAGAAAGGCCGACATCGTCACGAGACAATCCACCATGCAATGGTACTATGGAGCATTGTGATGGGGAGTATAACGACGTCAATGATGAGGTACATTGCTATTTGAATTTTACGCAATTTTCTTTTTCCTTTTCCAATGTCATAAAATTCTGATTGGTACTCCCACTTATTTTCGTCCACATGCATAAAACATGCTTCGTTCCTTTCATCTTCTTGCTAGCTTTTAAACTGATACCATTTCCCGGTGAATCACATAGCAAAAGGCTTTCTGCGTTTCAACATTGATAAAAAATCGTTTTTCATTCTGAATGGAAGTAAAATGCCAAGTTGCTTCAGATAGCTACTTAAATAACTCAATGATTTGCGGTATTTTGTTTCTTTGTTTTGAGCATAAGGGAACGGATATTTTTTCATTTTTTTATCCTCGAATAATGAAGAAACGAAGCCGTTCCTGTTGCTTTGATTTGAAAGGTTTACGTACCGAAACTTTATTTCTTATTATCTCTATGACACCATGATGTGCTCTTTATTATGAGGGGCCGTAGGGGGGATCACCACTTCGTCATGTCACCATTACGGATGGTGCGGAAATTGCGACCGATCTGCGCCATAATCGAGGACGATATAATATTTTTACTCCAACGTGACTGAGTTCTAACAGGAGCTTTCCCATTACGAAGCTTGCCGGCTGGGTTGTCCAAAAACGTGCCTTGAGAAACAGATCTGTTTTTTTCTGTTTTAGTTATTTTGGTGTCGGTGTCTTCGCTCTTTCTTTATTTTATAAGCAGGACTGACATATGTACCTTTCTCTTGTATGGTAATTCCATTTTCTTCTGCTAACGTTTGCACTGTGCGTAATCGCGCTTGTTCCTCCGCTCGAATCAAATGCCCAAACGCGCCGTTGATCGTCAAACGTGGGCCAACGAGGTCCTAGACTCTGTAATGTAGCTACGTCGTACGGAGTAGCAGTATCAATGTTTTAGTGTTAGTCGATTATGATATGAATCTTACCATTGCCTTTATCCAATTCCACTCTTTACATGTTTTACTCCAACGCATATGCGCGCCATGCCTATCGCGGATGTTTGGTTCTACTATGCGATAGCGTTTTTTTTTTTTTTTCGGTTTGCCCGTGGGCGCACCGTGCGCCCCGGCCCATTCGTGCTCGGATGCCAATGCGCAATGCGCCGCGCAATGCGCCCATTGCGCCATTGGCTCCGCCCCCTACGGTCAGTGCCAGCGGGCAGTCGTCGTGTGTGCCTTGCGGCGAGCGGTGACCTGCCTTGCCTCGGACGTCTCCTATGTCTACCTAGCTGTCAGGTGAGTGTATTGAATGGCGTTGAGCCCCCTAGCAGTTGAGGTGCTAATAATGAAGTGTCTAATACGTGTCCCTGTGCTGGCATCCAGGGGTTGGTCGGTGTTCACCGGGCAACGCGAGGAGGCCCCGGAAGGCGAGGAGGGATGTCCCCTCCGAGCTGGAAGGTTGCGGAGCGCCACCCGTTAACTGGTCGTGGTCCCTCCCCTGCTCCCCGTCTGGGAGCAGCCTGGTATCGCGCCCCGTTTCGGACCCGCTGACCGTGCGGGCCCCCTAGAAGTGTAACATCCGAGCGGGATGGGGGTCTAATACGTATAGTCAGCTGGTCCTGGTCTGCCCTTGAGTGCCGTAATGCTGAACCTGTGGGTAGTTAGGCGACACGGGGAAATTTTTTTCGTGCGCTTGAAGTCGTCTGGCGGTTGAGATGGTTCCTGTCTTGCAGTGGGATTTTTATTCTTCTTTGCTGGGCCGTCTGTGCGATCCCCTTGGTGAGTTTTGCGCAGCTTGGTGTTTTTTCACCCTGGTTTACTGTCTGCTGAGATTACGTTAGTACCCCGTTTCTGCTTACGTAAATATGTGTGGCTTTCTTTCATACCAAGAGGCAGCGATGATAAGATACAATAGCAGAGCTGCCATTATTGAAAGTGCGGACAGCGCTTGCCAATAAGGGTCCGAGGCGACGCAATCCTCTGCCCAACGTTCAACTCCATTTTTTTCCTCCCGTCCCTACCCAACATTCAGCAATAACGGTCCCGTTGGCCGAGTGGTGGCCGAGGGAGATCAGAGGCGATGGTGAAGTTACTACGTATAATAAATATGTATCGTTCATATGTTGTATTTATGCCCATGTGGGTTTTGCCCTAATTCCATGTGTTTCATTGCATATGTTGTTTGCGCCATGGTTGTTAAAGGGTTTGGCGCGCTTGGTTCTAATCCGGGAGCTGCGGAAGGCAGTAGGGACCCGTTAGGAACCCCATGGTCCCCGAGGGGTTGGTCCGCTTCTCCTGCAAGGTGCGCAGGAGAGGTGTTGTGGACCCGATGAAAGTCCTTGGACCGAAAGGTGCCAGGCGTCAGGAGTTGATAGGCAGAGCCCACCGATGCCGGATCGCAGTTCGCGACACCTGGACTGCCGCCTTTTAGAGTATAGAAAGCAAATTTTCTTGGAACTTCCAGAAATCCCCATACAAAAAGATTGTGAGTGTACGTGAAATGGGTAAATTTCTGGGTTTCTTCAAAGTATGCGTTGGACCCTCTGGGGGCATTCCTATCTCACTGGTCTCTCCTTCGTTTCTTTATTCTTCACTGTTTTAGAGTATTCATGGTCAGCCCATGCGAGTGTTGACCTTGGGACGGGAGCTTCAGCGCGCGCGTTCCGTGTTAAACGTGCATTCGGCGTTAAGGCGATGTGTTCATGCCGTACGCTGCGCAGGTGCTTTTATTTTGAATGTTTTGCTTTTCACGACACTACAATTGCTTTTCAACGCGAATTAGCTGTAATGGTCTGGACCGTGGCATGCAAGGCGTGTTACGAGCCCGATTGAGACCTGCTCAATCATTCGCCTGCATAGCAATCGAGGTGAT